AGATACCACAGTCAAGAAATTCTCCTTTACTGTAACTGAACCCCTAAATGAAGGTTAAGTATTTTCGTTTTCTCTAAACACAGAAATATTAGCTAGCAGATTCATAAACACACTTCTTTAGAACCAATGAGACTTGCATTAGCCTGTCCTCAAATTTACATATCTTAAACTCCCTCTCTTCCACTACTGCAACTTTTTAAAAATACAGACGCCAAATCCAAATTCTATAATAAGGAATAAAAACCCAATGCAGTATCAGTGAACCTGAGTCAGGAGTTGCTAATTCACTAAATAAAGGGATCTACCAAACCCTAAGTAAAGCAGAAGTTCTCTACCATCCTATGCCCCTCTCTCCTCCAGGCCCCCTCCAAACACCCATAGATCACTAGGAAGCAGGAAAATGCTCCCCTCTCTCCACCAGACTCCCAGCCCCAAAGCCACGGTTACTATGGCAAAGAGGTTATGCAAATCCCAGTGCAAACATCTTCTGCTGCACCAAGCTTACCCAAAGCTACCCTCGTATTATCTTATTGATTTATTTCAGCTAAACCCTGAGAACAATTCAGATTTCCTCCATGAGACTTCTGCACCACCTTCTCCCTCTAATACCCTCCCCTAAAGTTACCCGCAATGCCTGCACCCAGTGGTTTGTTCTCCACTATCAGCACCATCTTCCTCCTTCTTAACCACTGTGTCTCAGTCATCTAGTCCTGCTGTTGTTGCTGTTGTTAGGTGCCCTCGAGTTGGTTCTCACTCATAGCGACCCTGTGTACAACAGAATGAAACACTGTCCAGTCCTGCATCATCCTCACAATCGTTGTTATGATTAAGCCTACTGTTGCAGCCACCGTGTCAATCCATCACATCAAGGGTCTTCTTCTTTTTCAATGACCCTTTACTTTACCAAGCATGATGCCCTTCTCCAGGGACTGATCCCTCCTGACTACACGTGCAAAGTATGTGAGATGTAGTCTTGCCGTCTTTGCTTCTAAGGAGCATTCTGGCTGTACTTCTTCCAAGACAGATCTGTTCGTTCTTCTGGAACTCCCTGGTATATTCAATATATTTCGCCAACACCATAATTCAAAGGCATCAATTCTTCCTCAGTCTTCTTTATTCACTGCCCAGCTTTCGCATGCGTATGAGGCGAATGAAAACAGCATGGCTTGGGTCAGGCGCATCTTAGTCTTCAAGGTGATATCTTTGGTTTTTAACACGTTAATGAGGTCTTTTGCAGCAGATTTGCCCAGTGAAATGTGTCATTTGATTTCTTGACTGCTGCTTCCATGGGTGTTGATTGTGGATCCAAGTAAAATGAAATCCTTGACAACTTCAATCTTTTCTCCGTTTATCATGATGTTGCTTATTGGTCCAGTTGTGAGGACCTCTGTCTTCTTTGTGTTGAGATGTAATCCATACTGAAGGTTGTGGTCTTTGATCTTCATCAGTAAGTGCTTCAAGTCCCCTTCACTTTCAGTAAGCAAGGCTGTGTCATCCGCATATCGCAGGTAGTTAATAAGTCTTCCTCCAATCCTGATGTCATATTCTTCTTCATATAGCCCAGCTTCTCGGATTATTTGCTCGGCATAGAGATCGAACTAAGTATGGTGAAAGGATGCAACCCTGATGCACACCCTTCCTGACTTAAACCAAGCAGTATCCCCTTGTTCTGTTTGAACAACTGCCTCTTGATCTGTGTACTGGTTCCTCATGAGCACAATTAAGTGTTCTGCAGTTCCCATTCTTTGCAATGTTATCCATAATTTGCTATGATTCACAAAGTCAAATACCTTTGCATAGTCAATAAAACACAGGTAAACATCTTTCTGATATTCTCTGCTTTCAGCCAGGATCCATCTGACATCAGCAATGATAACCGTGGTTCCACGCCCTCTTCTGAATTTGGCTTGAATTTCTGGCCGCTCCCTGCTGATATACTGCTGCAGCTGCTTCTGAATGATCTTCAGTAAAATTTTATTTGTATGTGATATTAATGATACTGTTTGTTAATGTCTGCATTCAGCTGAATCACGTTTCTTTGGAATAGGCATAATATGGATCTCTTCCAATCAGTTGGCCAGGTAGCTGTCTTTCAAATCTGAAATGTTCTTTTTGACGATGAATGCAACGTCATCCCTCTTCAAGTTTTCATTTCTGGCATAGCAGACCATATGACTGTCTGACTCAAAATGGCCAATATCAGTCCATTTCAGCTCACTAATGCCTAGGATATCGATGTTTGTGCATTCCATTTCATTTCTGACGATATCCAATTTTCCTACATTCGTACTTCGTACATTCCACAGTCCAATTATTAATGGATGTTTGCAGCTGTTTCTTCTCATTTTGAGTTGTGCCACATCAGCAAATGAAGGTCCCAAAAGGTTGACTCCATCCATGTCATTTAAGGTTGACTCTGCTTTGAGGAAGCAGCTCTTTCCAGTCATCTTCTGAGTGCCTTCCACCCTGAAGGGCTCATCTTCCGCCACTGTATCAGACAACGTTCTGCTGCTATTCATAAGGTTTTCAGTACAGTCCTGCTAGAAAAGAAATACTACAACTGGATGGCTTTAACAAACGGAAATTTATTTCCTCACAGTTTAGGAGGCTAGAAGTCTGAAATCAAGGTGCCTACTCTAGGGGAAGGCTTTCTCTCTCTCTGTTGGCTCTGGAGGAAGGTCCTTGTCTCTTTTGAGTTTCTATTCCTAGGCGATCTTCTTGTGACCTGGCATCTCTCTTTACCCATCTCTACTTCTTTCGCTTGCTTGTTTAATCTCTTTTATATCTCAAAAGAGACTGAATTAAGACACACCCTACACTAATCCTGCCTCACTAATATAACAAAAACAACCCATTCCCAAATGGTATATAACCACAGGCATACAGGTTAGGATTTACAACACACATTTCTGGGGAACACAATTCAATCCACGACACACCCTCTGTCCCCTCTCCATCCCATGGTTCCTATGAGACTGACCTGTCCAGGTGTCTAACATATTGCTGCCTCATCCCACCCTAAACATCAAAGGTATTTTCAAGAACCTGATCCTCTATCGTCTGCCCTTCATCAGCAAGTTCTTGACTGAGGATTGTGCTGATGACACAGACTGCCATTGCTGGCACCATTTAACTGACTCCCGGCTCTACAGTTCCAAGCATTCAAAACCTGGGCTCCACATTCTCCAAGGGCCGACCCAACACTTCCACTTGGTCTCCCTACATCTTCTTTATGCCTTTCCCCCTTCCTGAAAAAAACCCTCCTTCCCCTCAGTGAACAAAATGAAAGTTATGAAAGGGACGCTGTGGGAGAACATTCTCTTTCCTCCTCCCACGTCTAGTCTGAGATGGAAATAACCTGTCTACGCCGGGACCCGTTTACTGGGCAGATCTTAAAATAACCAGGGTGGGGAAGGGGTTTAATGGCCTACAGTTCACAAACTGAACTGCTGTTGTTGTTGTTGTTGGAGAGTCATACATGATTCACTGTAAGATATTTCAGAAAGAACAATCATATGAAAAAGAGAAAATTACCATAATCCCATCACCCAAAGGCAATAAAAAGTATGATAATAAAGCATAGTTTTAAATCTGGTGGGATATAGCTGTCTGGTAGAAACTGTCTTTGCTTAGGTAAGTGTTTGATGGACCATTGGAATGGGAAAAAATAGGCACCAGACTAGGGGCTGGAAAGAGATGGCAAAACAAGAGGGAAGGCTGAGTTGTTCTGTATAGGGAAATTGGAGAAATCCGAGGGGTATCAGTCTAAGAAGGCAAGAGCAGGAGAAGAGGTGAGAGAGAGCAAAGCAGCAGGACGGGAAACCTGGCACTTGATGGAGGAGCAAAGGCACCCCCACGGGGGTTTCTGTTTTCAGGAGCACAGCTGTTTAATATTCATTGTACACTGCTCACACATGTAGGCCTACCATCTCCCCAAAGTTCCACGAGTACCAAGACCCTATATGGAGGTGTCTGGTAAAAATCAAGGGAAAGGGCTAAATCAACATGAGATGGAAAGATGACACCTGTGAATTAATCCAACCAGGCAGAGACTCCACCTGAGCTGACCTGGAAGAGACCAACAGCTCACCTCCCGCCAGGGATTCACAGAAGGCCCAGGGGCACTGCACCCCAGACATGGTGGGGGGGGGGAGACCCGAAGGTCACAGGTAAATGTCCCTAAGGTTTGTTTTAAAGTAATTAAAAAGAAAATCCATAGTTGAGTGCAGACTACTTATAAAATCATGTGTTCTTTTTTCACCTATTATAATCGTTTGTTGTGTTAAAAATTCCTTATAAGTATTCTAATAATTCCCTCATATGGATTTACCACAATTTACTTAACCATTACTCTACTACTGCACATATCTTGCTTCTAATTTTCCATCACAATAAATGCCACTGAAGCAAATAGCTTCTTTGTACATAAATCTTTTTCAGAATTTCAGAGATACCTAGAGGAGTTAAGTATGTAAGCATTTTTCAAGTTCTTGATACATAATACAAAATTATGCTGCCAACACTGAACCAATTTACGCTTCCCAAAAATGCTGAATGCTCACGTTTAAAAACAACGAAAAACTTTAACTAATTTGATTTGTTTCCCCTAATTCTTAGAAAGTTCATTTGTAAGCCCTCCACTCCTGTTCTTACCTAGTCACCTAGCACTTGCTTTCCTTTGTGTTTTATCGTCTTGTATGAGTTCCTTCTATTTAAGGCTGTTAATCTTTTAAGTATCATATTTGTTAGCATCTTCCTAGTTTATCTTCGTTTGTGTTTATATTGTTCTCTGCTGGGCAGTTTTACATTTTATGTAATCTTATTTATCATTAATTAATTCGCTCAGTAAGTGCTACAGCAATTAAACAGCAACAACCTCTCAACCTTAATTTTTAAGTCTGATTATAATATGCTAGGATAATGCTTTTAAAAAACCACACTAAAATGTAAGGTCATTTAATTATTCAACCAACATACATTATAAACAAAGAGTTACTTACTGAATCCAAAAAGCAAAGGTAAGCCCCTGAGCTCTGTGCTATTGCTTGATTTTTAGAATATCCAACTGTTTAAAAAAAGAAGAAAAGCTCTTTTACAATTCAATTTTCAATAGCATTACCTTTCATAAAACTTAGTATACCATACACGGTAAGAAAACTAGGGACAATTTGCACTACGAAGTAGAAAATCAGGTCAGCTTTGGACGGAATGAAAGAGGAGTCAATGGAAAACAACATTCCATATTCAATAATGATGTAGTAAGTATAATGCTAAAATAAAAATAGTATAGTCTAGGTCAAAGTAGGATATGTTAGCTGAAGTAAAAAAACGACACTTACTGAGTACATCGCTAAGCTAAGCCCTGGGGAATATTTTTTAAAAACAAAATAAAAACTGAAATGTCCAACTGAAGCACTTTGGTAGATACTGGCAGAGAGTTTCGATAAAGTTTATGCTGATGAAAGTCTGGATAATGGGTACCTGGGAGAGGGGGCAGCCACGTGAGTGATCAGTTGGTAAAAACTCACTGAACTGAACGCTTGGTGGCAGTCATCTGAACACAGATCTCAGCAGCAAGTTAAAATCACTGCCAGTATCTGAATACACCCATCCTATGACCCTACGTGTAGACCCAGTACAAGTGCTCCTGTTCACCACAGGCACGCACGTACTGAAATGCTCCCAGCAGCACAACCCCAAACCAGGAACCACCTGTCTCAGGTATCCAGTGCTGCTGTAACAGAAATACCCCAAGCGGATAACTTCAACAAAGAGACATTTACTCTCTTACAGTCTAGTAGGTTACAAAAATCCAAATTCAGGGCGTCAGCTCCAGGGGAAGGCTTTTTCTGTCAGCTCTGGAGGAAGGTCCTTTTCATCAGTCTTCCCTTATTCTTGGCGCAGGAACCTCACGTCCAAAGGACGCGCTCTGCTCCGGGTGCTTCTTTCTTGGTGGTATGAGGTCCCCACTCTCTGCTCGCTTCCCTTTCATCTCTTGTAAGGTAAAAGGTGGTGCAGACCACACTCCAGGGAAACTCCCTTTACACTGGATCAGGGATGTGACCTCAGTAAGGGTGTTACAATCCCACCCTAATTCTCTTAAACATAAAATTGCAATCACAAAATGGAGGACAACCACACAATACTGGGAATCATGGCCCAGCCGAACTGATCCACCCATTTCTGGGGGGGACACAATTCAACCCTTGACACCACCCAAAGGTAGACTGGACAGACTGAGAACACACAGCAGGAGGACGTGAGGTCTGTAAGAGCGCCTGACAATGTGGACAATCTCCCTCCTGGGGAGCGAAGGAAGCCGTTCACAAAGAGGACAAGGCATGGTGCCTCTTACACAGAGCACAACAGAAGCCAAAACCTGCCTGTGCTGTCAGAAACCAGAACGTGGTCACCTTAGGGGCAGGGGTGATCAGAGGGGGATCGGGGGCTTCTAGGGAGGCTGGTGATGTTGTCTCTTCATCAAGGTGCTGGTGTGCTCAGTTTGTGAAAATTAATTGATCTGTATAATTATTATAAGTGCACTTTTCTGTATAGATATTATATTTTAATAAAAACTAAAAAAGTATCCTTGCCTTCAAAGGGAGTATAACTTAGCTGGAAAAGGAGCTAAACAATGCCCTACAGTGTCAAGCGAATGATGCTGAAAACAAGTACTACGAAGCTTAAAAGACAAGAGGGTGATTTACAAAGGGAACCTGAAGCTGCTAGAGCATAAACAGACAGAACATGGAATACTTCAGAACAGATAAATGCTCAGTGGTGGCGTGCTCTAGGGAGCACCAGGTCTGTTGAGGGCACAGTTATAGGTTTGGGAAGGCGCGCACAAGCCGGCAATGTAGCAACAGACTATGTGGGCTAAGACTCCTGAACTTCACCCTGCAGAACTGTTTCTGAGTAAAGAATAACATGCTGAAGTTAATATTTTAGCAAGATTAATCAGGATGCTGAGGGCACGGTACATTGAAGGAGGGCATTTAGCCCCCAAAACTCTGTCCCCAGGCCCATTAGAACAAACGTGAGTGGAGAGAAGGCAAAGGGTACAGAGGGGACTTTGAGGGGCACGATACCCAGCGTCCCCAGAAGAAACACTGCCAACAAGTGATTTGTGTTAGCCACAATTACAGACTTGGCACTACCGAGAAAAACTGCACACAAGCAAACAAATGGGTGTACAGAGTAACAATAAATCTCTGGTAGTCAAAGATGACTGCACCAACCCTAAGAAGCTGTCAGTCCCAAGGGGGCGCCAGGCTCGTTACAATGCACAGCGCCAGGCCCTGGTCTCTGCCAGGAGGAAACCACCTCTGAAGGGGGCAGAGAAGAGCCCAGCAGCCGAGGTCCATCCCGCCAACACTCTGGGCCAAACTCTCAGAGCACCATCGTGAGCCTGACCCCGGGGTGAGGTGAGGACCCTGCCACCATGTCATGAAGACATGAACCCAGAGCAGTGCCCTCTGTGAGCGCCATCCACACACAGCGGCAGCATGATTTCTGGAATTAACCCTGAGAGCTTGGCCGACCAAGAGCAGTTAGCAGAACGATTCCAAGCTTCAGAGGAGGAACGGCCAAGGAGCGCACTCGCTTCATCCCCGGCCCCCAGCAATCGCTACCACCCAGCAGCTGAATCTCCACTGTCACTGCAAAGCAGGACCGGCAGAGAAAGGCTTCTCAACAGTCACACCCAAAGGGTGTCCGCTAAAATGAATCATGGGGAAGGACTTCCCACAATCAAGTCAGCAAGAGTTCTGTCAAAAAGCTGCTTTTTAGAATCAGGTTTTAGGAAGATAAAAATCGACTGCATGAATCTGGGTAATGAAGGAAGACATACTTCACTAAGGAAGCTGGAAGTTTCTCACAATGAATCTTGTGTTTGGCAAAGGCAAGGAATTTGCTTTAATATTATTGCCCTGAAGAAAGTCAAATGTTTGTGCCAGAGGCCGATGTCTGGGGAGGCCGGTCCCTTTGTGCAGAGGGCGGTCGCCATGGCCACAGCAGTAAAAACCCACACTCCGTGAGATGGTGACATTCCTCACTCCTGGAGAGAAGAGGGTGGGATTGTGCACTATTCTGATTTTAGCAAGTGACTACACTATTAAGAAATGTTTTGCTCTATTGTGATATAAAATAATAATAAATAAATCCAAATATGATTTAAACAGCCCAGCACATCTAAAAATAGACACTTTGGATCTATGTTATCCAACGGTCAATATAGTTTTCCCTATTTAAGAAAATATTATAGGAAAGTATGTCCTTTCTGATACACCCAATTAAATCGACTTTATTAATGTGTAATACCCAGACTTCAAAGAGACTGCAGGATAACTTGACTTCACAGTACTTCAGCTTCGTTTTTCACAATTTGTTTGTATGACTTAATTTTTTTTTCTGTTGATAGAATACATAGAAATGTGATATGGTCCAAGTTATATCTAATCTATAAAAAGTATTTTATGGAAGACAACACTTTAAAATATAGATTAGACAAGGAGTGCCACAACATTCATCAAAATGACTTTAATTCACTTTAAGATGTAAAATATCTTAAATAAAGATATTAAATAAATAAAGTGGTGTTCATAGCAATTTTCAAAAACCACAATTTTCTACACACTTTTCCAGAAGCAAGCTGAAACCGATGTTCTACAATAACTTTGATTGATAGTTTTTTTTTGCAAACAAGCTAAAGATAATGAAAACAAGAAATAATTTGGAGAAAAACATTAATATCTTCCAGATACAGGAGATGATGATAGTGGTGGTGGTAACAGTACCTGCATGCCAGTCTGTTCTAAAAGCTTACATGTGGCAGCTCATTTCACACCTTCACAACACTCCATGACAAGCACCTATCACTGCACCCTGCTCAGATAAGGGAAACTGAGGCACAGCGAGGTGGTGGTAGCAGAGTCGCTCCAGAGCCTACATTTGCAAGAACTCTGCTCACCACCTCTGGTCCTACATCAGTCACTGTTTCTGCCAAACCTCAGGGCCTCGCAAGAGAGAATCACGCACACACACCGCCACAATGAGGTATCACGTGTAAAATTATTCTGACAGTGCCAGAGAACAAGACCATTCAATATAAACTTTTTAAAATAACAATGCATTCTTCTTCTAAAGGATCAAGTGTTTTTTATTTTAAATATTCTACACACTTTTCTGCTTTCTTAAACACAGTACACTGGACGCTATGTCTTAGAAATCTGGTGTGGGCAGAAGAGGGGAGGAGATTTTGAAAGAGAAGGCTGTTTCACTCTTTGAAGCTGAGCTCTCTCTTAACTCACAGCCACTGACATCTATACATCACTTGGTAAAATTAAGTAAATAATACTGCCAGGAAACTTGCAAAAGGCAAAGGCATCCCACCCTCTGGGTGCTTCCAGATAGGAAAGAACATGTATTTTAAACCATCTTCACGAAGCCGCAAAATTGTTTTTATAGAGAGCCACTGTTAAGAATGTTTAAACGAGGTTGAGGGTGGGCCCCAAAGAACTTTGAGACAGACTGCCTGGGTCCAGACCCCAGACCTGCCAATGACTGGTTGCATTATCTTCGACTACATCCACCAGTCCTTGCAGGGATAACGATAGCACCCACCCCACAGGACTGAGACGAGAACTACATGATATCCTACAAAGTGAAACCTCAGTTAGGACCAGTAAGAGAGGGTGGCTGTGACGATGTTGCTGCTCCCCATCAAGGCTGGCTCCAAGCATGGCCAAGCTTCCAAAGGAGTCACCCAAAACTAGCAGAAAAATAAGAAAGGAAATAAAAAGAAATACTAAGGACAAGTGGTGTGTAGGAAGAGCAGAATTCACGTCTCACACTTGTACCTCTGAGAACCACCCTGAATGAGCTATCCCTCTACTCCTACTAACCTATCCATTACCCAATTTTATCCCAAAAACACTGGAGGAGTTGCTGAGAGCCTGCGTTTTTGCAAGTCACAAGTTACATTTGAACAGGACCTCGTAGCAGAGTTAACACTTCCCAGCTCTCATATGAGGCGTATTCGAGCTGTCAGCCTGACTAACCTCTGAC